CACCAAGCAGGGCTGAGGTGAGCAAAGCTATCATGAATTGTGTCTGACTCCATTTATTCCAATCTCTCCCCTAACTCTCATGCTCTCTATGACTTTACTATAATCCTTACTTATTATCGCTGTACAATTGCGCCTACCGAACCTGTGATGATTTGTGGGGAACCCCTCTCCCCTTCACCCCACAGCTTTAGGCCTCTATTTAAATGCTACCTAAGTACATGAACGGTTTGTTCTAAAAACGTGGCAAGGGAGTAGAAAGACCCATCTTTCTCCCTTGGAGCAGCTGATGGTTTCAAACTGCTAACCTTGAAGTTAGTAACCCAACTAGTCATCACTATGCCACCACGGCTTCTCCTTTTAGAAAAATGTATATCTATAAACAAAATAGTAAAAATAAGATCTCAAATCAGCAATCTAACCTGCTACACATTAAGAAACTGGTGGGGGGGAGGGGCAGGGAATGGAGAAAACTAGATAAAAGCCAAGTAGAAATCACAAGCATTAGAGCAAAAATATATAAAACAATAAACAGAAAAAAGATTAGTAAGTAAAATTAACAAATCTTTAATTAAACTGACAATGAAAAAAGAGAGAGCAGAGTCTCAAAGAATAAAAGGGGACAGTACATCTTAAGAAATAAAAAGGATTAAAGAGGAGTAACAAGAACAATTTTGACAAGAAATTAGATGGCTACATGAAGTGTAAAAATTCCTGGAAAGATGTAAACTATTGAACTTATTTAAAAAGAAACAGGAAATCAGAATAGACCTACATCAAGTAATTTCCCACAAATAAAAGTCCAGGACCACTGAATTTACTAGTGAATTCTACCAAACATTTAACAAATTAACTCCAACCCTTCACAAACTTTTCAAAAATATAATAAAAGAGCAAACATTCCCCAACTCATTCTATAAAATCCAGTACAGTAAAACAGGAAAGAGCTAGAACTTGTGTAAGACAAATACCTGTCAGAGAAAGAAAACTCAAATCTTTTCCACTAATACTAAGTAATTGAAAAGTGGTAAAAACGGAATCCTCTCAAAGACAGAACATGTGAGAAGCAGAAAAAGAAGGCTGTTCTATGCACGGCTACTTCTCACAGGTTTCACTGTATTATCCTAATACCAAAATCATATAGACATCACAGAAAAGCTCTAGACCAATGTCCATGAAGAATATACATGCAAAAATCTTCAAGACTAGCAAACCAATCTAGTATAATGTAGTAACAATTACACATATTGGCTAATCAAATGCAGTCAAATGATATACAACCAATTTGTAAACCCTGGACCTTCGCTTCCCTTTCATTCTTCAACCCAAGGCAACCGGATTTATATCTCTAAATGTATTAGAAAATGTTACTAATAAAAGCACTTGAAAGCTTTTAATATTTATAAAGCTATTCTCTCTTACTGAAACACTCTGTCTTTGGTTCTGACACATCTAATGCAAAACTATGGCCTGCTTCCAATACAAACGGCCACTGCAGAAAAGATTGCTTATTTTCACTGGGTCTGGATCCTACATCTTGCTTATCCACCTTTGGTTGTTTAGGCTTGAGTCAACAGCCTGCCATATTGCCTGCCAATCCAAGGAGTTGTCAGTGACCTGCACCTGACTTGCCAACCTTGGATTCATTTCCTGGTTGCAGCTGCAAGCTTATCATCTTCTGGTCGATCTTAGCCCCAGCAACTACTTGAATCAGGAGACGCCACCAGCCTGACATCTGACCCATGGAATTAGAGCCTGACCCACTTCTGTGTGAGCAGTTTTCATACTCGTCACTGGTCTTGCTGCTCTAAAGAATCCAGCCTAAGACAAAGATCACTTCCATAGTTCCATATACCTCACATTCCAAATACAATGATAGAGTTATGAATTTTTATTAAAATCTTTTATCAAATTAGAGAAAACAAATGCTAGGAAATAGAAGGAAGGACTAACGGCAAATGAAAAGAAAATCACAAGAGCAATGTGATACTAAGAAATATTTTCCGGTTTTGAGAGTTTACTTCAAATTTAGAAAGGACAATCCTATACACCCAATAAAAATTTTCTAGCACGCTTAGAAAAAGTAGTGTTATACTGAATACCAATTATGCATAAAGCTATGTATAATGTAAACTAAACTAAAGAGCATTAATAGTCAAAAAGTCTAAAAGTCAATCTTCGTGACAAAAATATTCATTTGACCTAATTAAACAAATAAAAAATATATACCGTTCATTGTGCTCTTGATAAACAAGTCTGGACTTCTCCAGTAGATATTTTTCAACATAGGCACTAGAAGGAAAATACACAAAATTGATTGATATAAATAAGGAAGCTTAATATAAGATTCACAGTTATTAAAAAAAACATACAAAACTGCAAAGGATATGATCTATCTCTACATTTAGCTATTTGTGCTATGCATATGACTAGTGTTAACCATAGTAAATCCATAAACATATTAAGTCATTATAAAATGAAGCTCAAATATGTCTTCCTGTGCAAATTCAATCATTATCACCACCATCACTACTCAACAGGTTCTTATCTACCTAAAATAGGAGAATGAGTAAGTTAAATTCTCACAACCACATTCCATGGTAAATACTGCCACCATTGTACAACGCTAGAGATTAATGCTCAAAATACTAAGATCATATAGCTAGTAAAAAATTAGAAAACAAGAACCTTTAAAAAAGCCAAATGGATTCTATCATATTGAATTAAAAAAGGAGTGACAGGTCCCTAATGTTACTGAAAAAAAATTTTTTAAATAAAAATTTTAAAAAGTGAAAGGAAATACCTTTTTATATAATGTTTACCAGCTAATAAATACAAAAAAGAAGGCAAAATAAGAAAATCGCTACTTTGAAGCCACAGATATAATAACTAATTCTGGCATGATTTTCAAAAATTACTGAAACCACTGACTGGAAAGGTGTGAAAAACAAGATAACATCTTAAAATATCATTCTGCAGTTGACTTTTTCATATAATAGGAATACTCTACCACACTCACTACCATTTAATTGATTCCAATTCATAGCAACCCTATAGGACAGGGTATAACTAGCCCTGTGGGTTCCTGAGACTGTAATCCTTTAGGGGGAAAGATGAGTGGCTGGTAGTTTCAAACTGCTGACCTTGAGATTAGCAGCCCAACACACAACCACGAAGCCACCAAGCTCCTGTAATGGGAATAGGTATGTGTGGTAGTTACATAATCTGGTGTCAATTTGAAGATTAAGAGTATAGGGGTGGAGTCTAGCCTGTCAATCTGGAGATAGCCAATGAGACCTCATGGCCTTCTGAGAATTCAGGGAACTGCTGTTTTTCCTCCTGGGAGGTGGGAAACACTATCTCTCTCTACTCACTCCCTTGGAGAGTCTCGACTGACAAGGCTAACTCCCTGCGAGACATCCCTGAGGAGAAGCCACATGAACCTACCCTGATGAAGCCCTGGGTGCTGGAGAAGCCACATGCAGACCCCTGCCAGTGCTGGGACGTTTACAACACCACTGGACCCAGAAGACTTCCAACCCAATGGCCTGTGATTTCCTGCATTCAGCATCATTACATGTGTTTTTTGAGTCCGTAGAGGCCTTTATAGATTGGTATCAGACATATGGGCTAATATTAGACTTATATACCAGATATGGACTGGGCTGGGATGTTTCCTCAATATTTAACTGCTCTTTTATATAAGCCTCATTTTTATTCACATATGAGTCTCTATGAATTTGTTTCTCTAGTCTACCCTTACTAACACAGTATCTCTAAAAGGGAGAGTTCTGGAGGAGACCATGTAAACCAACTGATGAAATTTAGCATTATCCAAAACTTGAATAAACTGGTAGAAGTTCCATTATGTTATCAACCTTAATTATAAGAAAATTGCCAAGTAAATTAAAAAAAAAAGAACAACTAATGTATAAAACCATAAAAAAAAAATCACTCACTGCCATCTAGCCAATTACAACTCACAATGACCCTATAAAGGGTTTCCAAGGTTTCTGTAATTCTTTAGGGGAACAAACATCCTCATCTTACTCCCAAGGAGTAACTGGTGGCCTTGAACCATCAATCTACAGTTTGCAGTCCCAATGCTTACCCAACAGCACCTTAATTGATGTTAACTTTAAAAAATATCAGTGTAAAGATATGGCAGGAGCAGTGAGAGTGGTACTAGATGAAGGAGTGTACTAGAAAAAGGAGATTAAAGAGCTATAGGAAACAAGTACAATAAGTGATCTTTGATTGGCTCTTTCTAAATTTATAAAAGAATATTGCTGAGACACCAGGGCATTCTGGTGTCATCATTTACTGTATAATACAACTATTATCATACCAGTACTAAATTTCTTTGAGAGATTATGGTTATAGAATGTGGTTGTTTTATGAAATATAGTTATTAGGGGTCAATTTACAATTCATATCTCACTCAAAAACAACTGACAGTAAAATGGACGTCATATAATATGGAAAGCAAAATGTTTATGTGACAATGATTAACAATGAAAAATCTACGTAATATCAATGTGAAGGTGAAGGGTCAGAGTAGAGACCCAAAGCCCGTCTGTAGACAACTGGACATCCCTTCACAGAGGGTCACACGGAAGGGTCAATTCAGACAGGATGTGGTACAGCACCGACAAAACACAACATTCCTCTGGTTCTTTAATGCTTCATCTCCTCTATTGTCATGACTCAAGTTTTACCTCACAAATCCTGTACATTGGTACAGATAAAAGCTTTCAACACATGGAAGACAGAACAGACAACCCCCTCAGAAACATTAATGGGAATAGCAATACCATGGGGGTGGGGGAGAGAGAAAAGGGGAAACTATAGCAATGATGGATGTATAACACCCCACCCACCAAGGAGATACAGCAGATGGTATAAGATATGAAATATTTTAGGGAGGGAGGGTGGGGGGCAAGGAGGGAGGGAAAAAAAGAGGAGCTGATAAAGGCTCGAGTAGAAAGTTTAGAAAATGACAATGACAACATATGTAAAAGTTTGCTTGATATAAATGATTTATAGATAGAATATGTTAAGAGCCCCCCAACAAAATGATTTTTTTTAATCTAGGCTCAGGGTTTATGAATATTATGCTTTCATGAGCTATCCATTGCACATTTTTAAGATCTGAACCTCTCCAAAGGAAAGAAAAAATAGGAAGGAAAAATTTTTGATGCGGACACCAATGTCACTATTCTCACTAAGAAGCAGGTGAAGGGTCCATCACTTAAGATGGGGTAATGACCAAAGTATGACAGGGTACCCCCCAAAAAAACCAGAATTGCTCTTGGCAGAAAGGAACTTTCATAGTATGCATTTTTCCGTGCTCAGCGAGCATCAAACAACTCACTCTGAGTTAGTGCACTAGTGGCATCGCTTAGGAAGGTTCTCTCTGGTCACAGTGACTTTTTTCATAAAAGCTGTTTCACTCAAACCTTGTTTTTTGGGATGGCCGATTTAAAGGAACAGAATGAGGATGTGGAATTTTGTTTCCTGCTAGGGAAAAATGCCTCAGAAACTGTTGTGATGTTGAACACAGCTTACAAGGACAGTGCTATGGGAAAATCTCAAGTGTATGAGTGGTTTTCTTGTTTGAAAAAAAGTGAAAAGTCAATTGATAACAAACCTCGTTCTAGACATCTGTCAAATTCCCAAATAGACAAAAATGTCGATTTGTAGTGCATTTGGAGTTTGGTCCACCAGGTCAGACTGTTAATCAAGCTTTCTATTTAGAGATTCTGAAAAGATTGCGTTAACAGTATGTGACAAAAAAAGGCAGGCAGGGGATTAGTTTTGCCACCATGACAGTGCATATGCTCACGCAGCCATCTCAGTGTGCCAGCTTTTGCCAAAAAACAACATGCCTCTCCTGCCCCACAAACCTTACTCACCTGACCTCAGTCCATAAGACTTCTTTTTGTTTCTGCTAATGAAGAGGGAAGGACAAGAAAGGACAGCGATTTGAAGATGTAGAAGAGGTGAAGAAAAAAAAAAGGGAGGTGCTGTCAGACATCCAAACAGATGCATTTGAAAATTTTTCCAAGAATGGAATCTCAGATTTGACAAATGAATTCAGTGTAATGGAGAGTACTTTGAAGGTGATGTTTGTTTTGTAAAGAAATTTAAATACATAGCTTTGGGGGAAAAAATCCAGTTTTTTTTGGTACCCCCTCGTATAACCATGCTTCCAAGTGCTGAAATGACTGCTTACTTACCCAAGAACAGTGCCTGTTTCTTGGTAATTTACTTGAATAAACTTGCCAAAACGACTTGAGTTGTTATTATGAGCTGTCTTTGCATTTCCAAAGGCCTGTCAAAATAAACAATTGTTATTCTCATTTGAAAAATAATTTTTTAAAGCATTGTTTAACTCAAATCAAAGAGACAAAATGTTAAATAGGCAACAGAAAAACAACTCATTTACACTATTAGACTGATATTCATAATTCAGGTAAAATAAGATGAACAACTAACTTCAAATAATTTCAAGTACAGTAGATATTATTTTATGCAGTTCAGTAAAACAAATCCTAGTTTTCAAAAAGTAATGCTTATTGAAAGGAGCCCTGGTAACATAGTGGGTTATGCCCTGGACTGCTAACCGCAAGGTCAGCAGTTCAAAATCACCAATTACTCTGTGGAGAAAGATGAGGCTTTCTGCTCCCATAAAGATTTACATGCAAAGATGACAATAAAATTCAAATATGACAAAGGGAAAAGTACCAGAGACTAAGGCTATGGAGGACCATAGGAGCTGAAAAACCATCTTCAGAGTATCTAGTCACATCAAGCCTCTGGCAGATTTCCTCTAGCCACAAGCAAAGGTCTCAAAGCTTTATTATCAGATAGAAATCACTGTAATCATGATTACATAGGATTGAACTTGATACTTGGTCTTTTGACCTTCATCTAGGTCCAACATGAAATTGCTCTAGGTGCAAGTATTTTTGTGCTTGTTTCATGACAAAAATTTCTTCCCTGGCCTTTTAAATACTGTAGGTGGTCTTTTCTTTCTTACCCATTATTTGTATTTCTATCTTTATATTATTATCTTATCCTTACCATTTGTTTTTGTTTTTTATTGTTTGTTGGGTTCTCCAATTTATGAAGCACAGAAAGAGTAGATGCATAAAGAACAAAATGATTTTTAAAATAATAAATAAATAATAACTAAGGCTAGGGTTTATAGGAGAGGTAAGGGTGGGGTGGGAGATAGGGAAGGTATGGTTGTTGGTGTGCAGGAAGGGTGAGGAATCACTAGAACTGATTGTGATTACAAAGCTCATTTTAAAAGCGATTTAACCATGGGGCGGGGCATGGAATAAAAATGTTCTAAAATTTGGTGGGGGTGATTTACAGCCTCGGAAATCCACAGGGACCATTTAACATGACCATTCAACAAGGTTGCTATGAATCACAACAGATTCAGTGACAGTTTGGAGGAGTTTTTTTTAGTTTGCAGTAACACTTACTAAAGTATAACTGGCTTTTTCATATTCAAGTGTCAGAAATTTTTCCTAAGATATGTATATACATGAGGATGTACACCGCGCCCCCCTCAAAAAAAAAAAAAAAGCAGTTTCACACAAGCCTCGTTTTGGGTGGCCAATTTAAGAGAACAGCGTGGGGCTGTGAAATTTTGTTTCCTGCTTGAGAAAAATGCTGCAGAAACTGTTGTGATGTTGAAAATAGCTTACAAGGACAGCGCTATAGGGAAAAACACATGTGTACAAGTGGTTTTTTCATTTCGAAAAAGGTGAAATGTTGATTGATGACAAACCTTGTTCTGGACATCTGTCAACTTCCTTAACGGATGAAAATGTCACAAAATTTGTGCCCTTGCTTTCAAAGACCAACGATGGACCACTGAAGAAATGGGGCAGTTATCTGGACTATCTCGGAGCTCAGTTCAGCGAATTTTGAATTTTAATGCAAGATTTGGGAATGAGAAGGGTGACTGTGAAATGTGTCCCTCAGGTTCTGACTGAACGGAAAAAGCATCCAGTGGAGACGTAGTACTTTGAAAGAACAGCTCCAAATTGACCAGACTCTTTTTCCAAGGTCATTACTGGAGACAAGACATGGTGCTATTCTTAGGACCCCGAAAGCAAACATCAATCAAGCCAATGGAAGACACCATCATCAAGTCACCCAAAAAAGCTCATCAGGTGGTATCAAAGATCAAGACAATGCTCCTTTGTTTTTATGATGTGAGGGGGATAGAGCAATTGGAGTTCTTTCCACCAGGTCAGACTGTTAATCAAGCTTTCCTTTTAGAGGTTCTGAAAAGAATGTGTAACAGCATATGACCAAAAGGCCTGATTTCTGACAGACAGGGGACTGGTTTTTCTACCACGACAATGCACCTCTCAGGCAGCCATCTCAATGCACCAGTTTTGGGCAAAAAACACATGTCTCTCTTGCCCATGCACCTGACTCGCTTGACCTCAACTCCATGCAACTTCTTTTAGTTTCCACGAATGAAGAATGACATGAAGGACAGCAATTTGACAAGGTAGTAGAGGTAAAGAAAAATAACGAGGGAGGTACTGTCAGCCATCCAAAAGAAGAGTTTGAAAAATGTTTCCAATAATTGAATCTCAGATTTTACAAATGTATTAAGTGTAAGGGAGAGTATTTTGAAGGTGATAAGGTTGTTTTGTATAGAAATTTAAATACATAGCTTTGGGGGGTAAATTCTGATTTTGGGGGGGCGTAGCCCCTTATGTGTACATTTATCTTGCTAACCTAACTAACAGGGGGTTAAGCAGGATATCCTTAACACAGTCATAATTTCAGGAAACTAAAAATGAAATGAAGTTTCATTACATACACTTATTTAAAACAAAGCTACCAAAAGAAAACTAAATCCATTGCTGCTGAGATTGCTGGAGTGTTGCAAATGGTTCATGATTGATAACCAACCAAAATACTGTCAGTTAGAACCCACCCAGAGGAACATCAGAAGACAGGCCTGGCATTCTGCATCCACAAGATCACAGTCCGGAAAACCCTAGGGAGCTCATTCTACTCTGTAACACATAGGGTCACCATGAGTATCAAGCAAAGCTCCAATACTTACTAAAATTAGAAAAGTAGATGCAACAACCTAAACTGTTTTCCAAAGTATGTATCATACAATGGAATTTTGTCTACCAATAATGAGGAATAAACTTAATACAGATATCAATATTAGTGAGACCAAAACATATATAAACCCCCCAAAAAAACATATATAAGCAGCAGCTATATAAAAGAATACATTCTACTGATTTTCTTTATATGAGATCTATTAAAGGTAAGTCACAGTAATTAGATTCTTTTTTTTAAATAGTTTTATTGGCATATACTTTACATATCAAACAATTTAATCATTCAATCATATTAAAAAGAATTGTCCAATCATTACTACAATCAATTTCAGGACATTTTCTTCTCTGTCTCATTGTTAGCACCCTATTTCCCCCCAAACCTGTCCTGCCATGCCCCTAGGTAACCACCCTCCCAAAATTCCACGATTTCTACTTATATAATTCAGTGTCACTGATTATACTCTTCATGCTGTACAATTACTACTGAAATTCTTTTTCAAACTATTCTACCACCATGGACATTGATCAATGGCCCCTACATGACAACCTGTTCCCCTTCACATATGGCAACCATTAGTCAAGTTTGATTTCTTTTATGTATATGTGGTTTTCTTGATACAGTATTTTTTTTCTTTTTTAAAAATTAATGAATCATTTTATTGGGGGCTTTTACAGCTGTTGTAGCAATCCATACATCAATTGTATCAAATACATTTGTACATATGTTTTTGGTTTTTTTTAAACATTTTATTAGGGGCTCATACAACTGTTATCCCAATCCATACACATTGATACAGTATTATAACCAAATTCTTTAGGTCGAATTTTAGCATGTTATCGTTTGTTTTACCTTTTGACCCATTTTTAATTTGTTCTAGTTTCTATTATCTTCTGGGGTTTTTTCCCCTTGTTTTTAGACTGAGGTTTTTCTGTTTTACTTTGTCGTTGTCGTTAGAGTATTTTGTATGCTATTCCTTCAGAAAATCATACAAAAGTATGGTAAATCCATAGCAACAGTAACTAGATAAATAGTTCCTTAGGGCTATGACAGGGGAGGTCAGGAGTAAATGGGAAGCTAATAATAATAATTTGAGTACAAGAATGAAGAAAATGTTCTACGATTAACTGATAACTGTGCAACCGTTTTAATATATTTAAACCACTGAATTGTATGATATGTGAATTATATGCCAATAAAACAGTTTAAGAAATAAAGAATGCATACCACACAATTCTATTTATATGAAATTCTAGAAAAACTAAAACTTGACTAACATGAAGCAGATTACAAGTTACCGAGGAAGGGGTGAAGGTGGAAACTGTCTACAAAGGGATATAAAACAAAGCTACTGGGAGTGAGGAAAATGTTCTATACATTGATTAGATAAAGGAAGTATGTAGCATATAGGTATATGTATTTTTCAAAACTAATTAAGTTATTTAAAATCTGTACAGTTTATAAGTTAGAACTCAATATATCTTTAAAAAAAATTTTAAAACCCAAAAAGGCACTGCCCTAGCCAACCCACATATATTTGAAAAATTAAAACAAGAGAAGTGATTTGCATACCCAAAACAGAGTAAGACATGACTCATTGCAGCTGTTTCTTCTCCTACCATAATGATGCCATGAGAATGGCAAATCCTCTAACTCAAAAACCCTACCAAACTAGTTGCCATCAAGTGGATTCTGGCGCATGGCAATGTGTGTCAGAGCAGAACTGTGCTCTATGGGATTTCCTGTGGGCAATTTTTTAGAAACAAATAAGCAGGCTTTTCTTTCAAGGAATTACCCCTAAAGTCAACTTCGGAAAACAAGGTCATGTGCTAAACTGCTACTATGAGCAACACGAACACACTGGAGTGAAAATACACAAAGAAGACAAAGGGAAGAAGTAAAGTGAGCCGATATTCCAATAATTGCATCTCTGCTTTAGTATTTCTCAAAATATTGTTCCAAGACTAGTGTCATCAGCATTACTTGAGTTTCTTACAAATACAAACTCTTGGGCCTTACCCTGGCCTACTACAGTAAATCGGAAAGTTTGAGGTGTGTGTCTACACATCAATAGTGAATAGTCTGAAAAGGGAATTAAGGAAATCATTGCTTTCATAAAAGCATCTGAAGAATAAAATACTTAGGAATAACTTTAATGAAAAAGGTGAAAACTATCAAATAGTGCTGAAAGAAATAATAAACTACAACAAAAACTCACCG